CAATATTTGGTAGAAAAAAGCTAAAAAGTTACGTCTAAGTGGTTGTACTAACCTGTTTTTGTCGCCTTCCGGTGCGACGGCGGCCATCTTGATGTTTGTTTACATAGCGCGCGTTTGCCATCCAAGAAGTCACGTGATTTCTTAGTGCAAGTCGCCTATTGATGATAGTGTACAGAACAAAAGAAAGTGTGCAAGAGATTCTGGTATCGGTAGTAAAAATGACGCCATCATGCAAACGTCCATTAGAATTTCAGTAGATGAAGCGCTACTCTGTAAAATTGCCACTTTTAAATACCATTTATTTATTCATTATTTATTTATTTATTTTGTTAACACCACCAACATGGCGGCGATGACGTACGCATTTGAGTCTTGAAGTGACGTACTAAGATTTCCTTCTTYTGAAATAGCCCACTTTCGAGATATTAGAATTATATTAGCCCTTTTTTTGTAAAGCATAATTTGTGTGTTTAGTAAGAGTGAAATTTCAAAGAATTTTTTATTTTTGTTAAAGTTGCGCATTTGTTATTCGTGATACTAAAATGATGCTAATCCTGAGTAAATGAGTCTAATCAGGAGACTAATACTAGATTTCGTACGATTATGATAGAAAAGGGTAGATGTCATATTTTAATRAGTCGTTGCGAACCCAACGGAGACAATGAGAAGCCATTTCAGTGTCACAATGTCACTAAAAAGCCGATAAAGTGTTACGGTATGCCGAAAGTGGGTTATTTAAATTTTAAAAGCTGCACTAAAAAAGAGAAAAAATATATAATTATTTTTGTGAAACTAGGTATAAACGTTATAAATATAAGAACTTAAAATATCGAAAAACCGCATGCTGATAATGAAATTAGGTCGAGCTGTAACAAACAGCTATTTCGATTTTACTTGACCTTTAAAATAGTCACCTTAATAGAAGCTAATTTTCATTTACTATTCCAAAAGGTCTGCATGTGAAGCAGGAATTTCAAAAGTATTTTTCAGAAAAACACAACTTTGAGTTTTGCTGACATGTTTCGGTATTAGACAGGCTAAGGTTGAGGAAAAAGCTGGGTCGAGATTGAAGTGCATTTTGGGCTGTTTTGGGGGACAAAATACACGCCCCACAATGCACTGGAATGTCAACTCAACCCAGTTTTTCCCACAACCTCGGAACGTCTCATATGCATTAGTTTGGTTTATACCGTAACAAAAATCAGTCCTGTTTTTCTTTAAAAGACTATAGGATAGTTTTATTTCGCAGCCGTTTTGTGAAATTCCCCTCCCCGTCCCCTCCTCAAGTCATGAGCTCGATTACGTAAAGCATGTTAACGAACTAAAGTTAGGGTAAATACTTTAAATTAGGATCTAATTAAATATGGTAAATTTTCAAAACGATTTTTAAAAAGGGGTGATGAAGTTATTAGTTCTGAAATAAAAAATATCTTGTTTCTGAATTGGTAATGCAGTTTTCCTTTTCCTTTTTTTCTTTTTATATATATACCTATTTCAATAAACTTTGTCATCGATAAGGGCAATAGGCGATTGGTCTTAACACTAAGGTCCATGTTCTTGACGAGAATAAGAAGCAGAAACACAAGTCATTCCAGCTATTCTTGGATCTTGCAATAACCTATCTCCTATTGCTTTTCACCTATCGCCTATTGCTTATCGCCTTTGGCGATGACAAGGTTTTTTGAAATAGGTGTATATATATTTTTTTTACTTGGGGTGATGTCTTCTTTCTACTTTCTTCCCATTCCATTCCTTCCATTCATTTTCCTATCCTTTGAGTCAATTCTCTTTCTTTTCCTTTTCTTCACTTCCCTTCCTTATCCATCTCTTTTCTTTCATCTCCTTTCCTTTCTCTTTATTTTCTTTTTATCCCTTCATTATTTGTTTCTTTAATTTCATTACGGAAAAAAAATTAATGTTGATTTAGAGATTTAGATTCTACCCAGAATGCCTAGCACGCTTCAAAATATTAGCGCGCGCTTAGCTTAGTGACGTAATAATAAAATTAAACGACGTCATATCCAATTAAAAATTAGATTGTTTCAAGTAGTTGAATTGACAAGACGTGTTTGATTATCAAGTGATTTTTATTGTTCAAAATGTGCGGAACATTTCAGTCTAAATTTAAGCGCAATAACAAAGTAGCGCCTGTACCATGTCCTTTCGAACTAGAGGTCCTCAGAAGAGCCAAAATCCAAATCGAGAAAGAAAAAGCTCTCCTCCAGAAAGAAATCGCCATACAAACCGGATCAAGTCTCTTGTTCCTGGATACCGAGAATAGAGGATGTGAAACGCCAGCTTGCGTTGCATACGATCTGAATTTGGATGGCAATATTGTGCAAAAGGGGCTGAAAGCAAGCTGTCCACGAAGACTGGCAAGAGACCCGAAGTTGCCCGTCCTGACAAGAGAGATGCTGCTTGAGAAGCAGGCACAGGCAGAAGAGAACAGAAACAAGCAGCTGGAAAAGATAAGAAAAGCCGCCGCCTTGAAATCTTTGCAAGCGCGGGAAAAGAAATTAGCAGAAGAAGAAGAAAAATTGAATAAGATTGCAAAAATAAACGAAAAGCTGGCCAAGGCCGACGAGAACAGACAAGCTCAGCTCGAAGGCGTTAAAACCAAAGCTAAAAAGTCCTCCAACAACACACGCAGCAAGATAGCTGAAGCGCAGAACTTCGCCAAAGCACAGCAGACTTTGGTGCAGAGTGACAGAAAATTGAAAGAAGCTCAAACCAAAAGAGAAAAAGCTGTTAGCAAGGTTGTCAGAAAACAGCGACAACGTGAAGCACAAGCCCAGAAAGTCCGASAAAGGGCAGCCAAGCAAATGCAGGAATGCGTTCGTGTGTTTGATCTGGAAGTCGATTCACACTTCTATGCATCGGACAGCGAGAGTGACAAAGATGACATGTGGGATGCTGAATTCTGGGACAGGAAAGTCTAAAAAAAGTATAGATATCATTAGAATCTAAATCCAAGGAAAGGAAACAAGTGAAAAGATGAACTTATGAGAAGTTTTAAAACCAGATTAAATTCAAAAAATATAATTTTAAAATATCATCATTGCGGTTTGTAAATAATATTTTATTTTTTTGTTTTACAAATGTTTTTTTCTACGAAATGTATTGTGTATAATAAAGGAATTAATAAATATTCTCAAAGATAAAAACATCGAAGCTATGTTTATGACAGATTGTAAGAAGCAGAACAGTGTGCGGACAGACAGACAAACTAGGGACCGCACAAACTAACAACACGAAGACGCAAAGACAGGCAGACAAACTAGGGACCGCACAAACTA